TAACCAAAATTAAAGTTAAAAAGACTTATGGCCCTTAGTTTAAAACTTTCCCTGCTTCCAGAATCGTACGTGGTGTTTTTTTTTCTTCTAAATCTTCATCCCCATTGTTTTTTTTTTCTTAAACAAAATTCCTCCACAAAATGCACCAAACTAGTCTTGAATAAAATACTAACAGGCCACACACAGCAAATGTAGATAAAGTGGTAAATGTAATCTCATCACTTGTCTGCCTTAGTGACCTTTGCAGCAACTTGTCCTGAGACGACCAGTCCCCCTAGCAGCAATGAGACCAACCTTCAGCCCAGGAGGAGCATCACGCCTGACTCTTGTAGCATGTCCAATAAGTGGTGATTGTAAGATTAATAGGAATATATATATACCTAAATTACTAATCACAAGTTTGCCAATTGAATCACCATAAATCAAGAACAAACTAATTATTCACCATTAAACGTGTTTATGGAAAACTGACGTATTTGCAGAAACACTAACCTGCAGAACTCGATATGGAAGACGAAGCCATCGCAGCTTGTTGATCTAATAACCTTCTCCTCTTTAGCAAACACAAATGCTTTCCAAACAATAGGTATTTGGTACAAAAGAAGCAGACATTGCAAGAGCAGTGATTATGATCATATATATATATGGTCGTTCTAATCATTCCCCTATTAGAATTCTTATAGAACTCGAACAAGTAATCCATATTACAAGTGACTCTTAAAAGATAAAGTACAAAGATAAGTCCCTCAACAACAAGGACTTGTACTTATATTCCTACAAGAAAAAGGATTTCACTAAGCTTATCAACATGACTATTCCATTCAAAAGATTTATACTACTCAGCTCTTTCAATTCATACTCATACTCTTACATTCTCCCACTTGAGTATGACATATGATTAACAACCTTATAAATCATGGAAGTGATCACTAAGTCCATACCAACAGAAAACTTATCTTCACATTCGACGTTACTTAAGCACTTCAAAGCATGGAACTCATAAGTCTCCTTTGTCCATCACAAAATTAACTTAAGAATCACAGCATGCCTAAATTGCTCTCTGTGTTCATGTGAACGTATATATTCAGTAATGTCAAAATCATTACTCCCACTTTTCCAATATAACCTCAACACAAAAGTTGTCAAGACATCAGTTAATGATCAAAACTTATTAACCACAACCATCTTATATCAGAACAGCATATTTAATAGTTCAAAAAAGGTATTCTGCAACAAAATCACAAAGTGACTTTCTAGCAAACCAAACTATCAAATAAAATATGTTCTCTGGTACAATTGATCACAAAGTTTGAAAATTGAACCCTTAATGAAAACCAAAACAAACACTAACAACTAGATAAGCATAACTAAGCCAACTAGACTACCTTAGTTCTGGGAATCTTCAAGCTCATCGTTGCCATGTTCTAACTGAACAAAAGCAACTATCTTCAAGCCTTTAAATAGTGCACTCCCACTTATCTAGGCCATACTTAACACAACCAAGTTAAGTACAAGTTAATAGCAACTATATTAACTAAAAATCATTCCAATACAATGAATGACTAATCAGAATCCATATGGAAACCAAATTCGTTTCCTTTTGAATGCTAACATAATAGGATTCTTCTCATTACTTAAACAAATTAAGTAACACAAATAATTCAACCAATTGCTTCAATAAAACCATAAACTGGTTTTTAAGCATCTTGATGAATTATAATGGCCGGCTTAAATACTCTTAGCCTTATGCTTACATTCGAATATATGATTCTCCCACTTAAGCATAAGCAGAATGTACTACACAGCCGATAAAGAAATCGGAGATATGAACCAATTGGTTTCCGATTCCTCACCAATTGCATAATCTCAGTTTAGTCATATACACCTAAACCATTATGCAAACAGTCTATGTATCAAAAGATAGTCACAATCCATTTGGAAAAACTTATCTCACATAAACCCAAAATCACTAGTTTCAACAATGATCAAAATCAGAATAGTAAGCACAATATTTTTTGCATTCAATTTGATCCTAACTAGTTCAATATCCATCAAGCAAGATCAACTAAAAATTGATAATGTTTGGACATAGAAGCACAAGTTATCTTGATTAAAACGAGATAATCAAGATCTCAACTTTTCAACAATATGATTTACATATAATAATTCTTTAACACGATCGACATGTATCATAATTCAATCTAGTCCAAAAATCAATTGCAAAAATACTAATTGACGCTTCAAAATCTCAAACAATTCCAATCAATGGAAAACCCATAAGTTGTCAAAATTTCAAAATTAAATTCTTATGAACTTTGAGATCGCATCATATATGAATTAAAGGATAGATACCAATTAATCAGCAAATTTTCATTAAGAGAAGCGGAAGCAAACGAGAAATGAAAATTCCAGACCAAATCTTGCCAATCGATGAGTTCCACTATCACAGCGAAATAGAATGCATTCTTGCCAACAAGGCTTCACCAAAACAATTTATATCATTCCATACAAGGTATAAATACAAGAGCCTTCACATGTTTTCGGTTATACACTGCAAAGATTGACATTTATCGAATCCAAATTCCAAACTCCACCATTCATATATACAGCAACACTCCCAAAACATATTATATGTAGTCTAACCAAAACTGGGGATATGAATTGAACTTTTTTTTTTTTTAATAATTCAAAACAGACCAATGCATTTAATTATATGTACCATAAATTCAAACAATGGCATCCAAATTCCATTAGTTTAAAATTAGAACCGCTTGGTCATTAAGCATACTTGTCCAGACAATATCAATTCATGGAGTTCTCGTGTAGTCAGATTGATTCCATTCCAAATTGATATTCATCATATATGTCCCAAAACAAACAGACAAAAGAGAACGATAGGTGCTATATATGAACAAGTTTTATCCTCCACCAAGACTAATTTAATCATAACCATAGACTCTTTAATGAAAAATAAAGAGTATACATAGACTAAATGCTACATTAACTTATTTATGCAGCAAAAGATGATTTCAGACATCCCACATAATTACAAGTTGGCATCCATAGGGATTTCGAGTTTAATCATGCCCTCACAGTATGTAATTAAACAGGCATACTCGAAATAGCAAAAGCCCTAATTCATCATGCTCAAACTCATCACACTATAATCATGCATATAAGAGAACAATTAACCATGCATGATAACATGAATTAAGTTACCTGAATGCATCGTTGGATCCATATTCGTCAACCCGATTGCAATTCCTCGGCTTCAAATAAATGAAACAAATTATCCATCAATGCTCGAGACCCAACCACGCGGATTTCCATCACTCCAAATTCCCATGGACCTCATACCATTGCAGATTATCGAAGTGAATTGCCATTGTTACAGACGCGCCGATCCAAAATCATCGCCAAAGTTATCAGCCAGAATCCCGTCGGCACCAATTCCCAGAAAAAGACAATTCTCATTCAGATTTCAATAAAACAAAAGAAACAAGATGAACTTTGTTCAATGGTTCTCATTCATAATACAAGTTTATTCATTATAGTGATAATACAAGGAGGATTAATAAACCAAAATTATCTCAATCTACAAACATCATAACCAACTGCAGCGGAAGCAATACTAATGCAACTTAAATGTGACATTAGTTAGAAAAGAACGGTTTGGATTCAGCAATATTCAATTGCAGGTGTTATTTCAATATCGCTGTCAAATTCCAATATTTCCGATCTACAACTAATTATTTAAGCGGAGTTTGAAGAACATACCTTTAACATAATGTTAATGGGGTTGTCGTGATCAAGAGATAGACGAAGCAAAAACTTCTTAATCGTCAGAACTTTCAGTGAAAGCAAGAAAGAAAAGAAAAAGAAGAAACCCAGATAGAAGAGACCAAAAACCCAGAAAATAACAGTCGAAAAATTTAAAATAAAAGGAAACCTTCTAACGGCTCTTTCGCCCTTTCCCTTTTTTATTTATTTATTTATTTTTTTTAAATGGTGTTGTTTCTTAAGTTCTTTCTGGGTTCAAAAACCGGGAATTTATGTGAAATTTGATCTTGAACAAGATTTATGATTTCAATGGTCAAAATTTAATTGGCTCTGATACCACATGTAAGATTAATAGGAATATATATATACCTAAATTACTAATCACAAGTTTGCCAATTGAATCACCATAAATCAAGAACAAACTAATATTCACCATTAAACGTGTTTATGGAAAATTGACGTATTTGCATAAACACTAACCTGTAGAACTCGATATGGAAGACGAAGCCATCGCAGCTTGTTGATCTAATAACCTTCTCCTCTTTAGCAAACACAAGTGCTTTCCAAACAATAGGTATTTGGTACAAAAGAAGTAGACATTGCAAGAGCAGTGATTATGATCATATATATATATGGTCATTCTAATCATTCCCCTATTAGAATTCTTATAGAACTCGAACAAGTAATCCATATTACAAGTGACTCTTAAAAGATAAAGTACAGAGATAAGTCCCTCAACAACAAGGACTTGTACTTATAATTCTACAAGAAAAAGGATTTCACGAAGCTTATTAACAGGACTATTCCATTCAAAAGATTTATACTACTCGGCTCTTTCAATTCATACTCATACTCTTACAGTGATTACCTCCTCCGTGAGGATGCTTGACAGCCTCGACTGGGTTCATAGCCACACCACGAATAAGATTTCAGAAAACTTTTGTTAGTTTTGACTGTTTCTTCATCTAGTATTGCGACAACTGTTTGGGTAAAGAGAAGTTCGGTGGTGGCGTTTCAATGGAGATGAGGAGTGTTAAGAGACAGCACGCGAGTGTTAAAAGAAAGTTAAGGTAATTAAGTCTTTTTAACTCTAATTTTGGTTAGTTTTATAAAAATTAGAACATGTAAGTTATATTTCAGCAAGTGATTTCTAAAATTGCTATATTTCCAAATATTCCTGTAGAAAGACTATTGTTGGGTCTAAATAAAATTACCCTTTACGAATCCGCAAGCGAAAATCCTTTATTATCTTGGGTGATTGCTTGAGTTAAGCCTTCTTCAATCCCTCCTCTGCCACCGCCACCTTCGTCCACGGTACTGGCAAAAACCTGAACGACCCAAAATTTTCGCCGTTTTCGTGTAAGCAATGTTTAGGGTATCCCACCAATTTTACGGCGACCCAATTCCGGCCTATCGCCGACGAATTGAGCATCGCCATTACCTGGAAACGTCTCCTCTCACTCACAAGAGATAAATTCAGGTATTGCATGTTCGATTTCAATTTTTTTTAAGGTTAATCAAAGCTAATTCTAACATCTGCATTTCGCGGTGAGTTTCAGAAATCTGGCGGTTATTTTCCGGTTAAACGGCAAGCAATTGTCGTAAACCCATGAGTAATTCTCTCCTTTGACCCTTTTTAATCAATTTTTTGGATATTTCATAGTTTACCCTGGTGAAATTTTTGGTTTGATTTTGTTGTGTTTTTTTTTATATTTAATTTGATTTGTCATATATGAATTCTGAGTCTTTGTTCATTTTACTATATTTGATAACAAAATGTAATCGTATTTTGAATGAATTATGATAACCTCTTTAACTTTAACTAGCTTTAATCTTTTCAATTAGAAGCCCTGAGTTTTCATTTCTGTGGAAGCATGGCGGAAAAATTATCTCCACAAGATCTGTATTTTAATAGTAAATTCATTTTGGACCCTTGAATACGGGTGTCAAACGCTTCATAGATAGAGTTGCAACTTCCGGTTCATGCTAAAAGAAGCTCTTTGTTTTACTCTTTTTTATACATGTAGTCCAACTCTTGGTAGTTTCATGTTCTCCATATAAGATCATAAAACAACATTGAACGACATTGATGAGAGAGAGATGTGCTGTTTCAGAAACCAGGAGAAAGAATGAAGGAAATGGATTGGGACTATGGTGGTGGTGGGAAGGGAGATGGAGAGGGGGTTAGGTGTAGAGGTTGAATCAGATTGTTTGTAAACACCTATAGGTAACAAAAGCAAGACGTTCTTCACTAATTAACGCTCTCAACTAGGCTCAATTTTCAAATTAAATTTGGTCAGGCATTTGAAGTGTTAACGTTATCGTTGTATCGAGGGTGTAGATGTGTGATGCAGTGGCCCATGTTTTCATCTGGATAATTATGGAATATAAAAATAAAATTAAAAAAAAAAAAAGATCAAAAGGGTCAAAGGAGATTCCACTGTCTGCTTCTGTGTGTGTGTTTATTTTTTTGAATGGGATTTCGACTATTTCTTCCTGTTTCTCTAATTGCAAGCAGAATGGGAATCAAGAAATACCATCAGATCAAAGTGAACCTAGTGGCAACCCCTGTCATCCTTCTTATACGTTGTCTAATTGAGAGATATGCAAATTGTGCAATCTTTAACAATGAAAAACTTCATTGTGAAGAATTGCATCGGCTTGGTTTCTATATGTTTCTTTTGTAGTCAAGTTAGAGTTTGCTTGGTTGAGTTTATGTTTTCCATATTGAATATAATGTTGAAACTCCGTGGTTTCTTGAAATAGGTGAGAATATATTTTGTGCTGTAGATTGCCACTAAAGCAGTTCGCGTGAGCCAGAAAGTATGCTGCTAAAGGAGAAAAGGAAACTTGGGTCAGGCTAGTAAGTGGTATGAAATTTAAAAACATTCATATCATTGTTAATTATACCAATAGTTGTTTTCATATATTTATGTGTCACCATTTTTCTTGATCATTTAATATTTTCTAATAGATAGAATCTCATTACATATTTCTGAACATCTACTCTGATAAATATGCCATGGTTCGCTGGTTATCCATTTGGTCAAGGCTGCGCTGGTCATCTAGATAATTTACTAAATTTTATTGCTTTTAGTAGATTTTAAAGAGTAAATTGTTGCTATGGTCCCTTAACTTTTACTCAATTGGAGCAATGGTCCCTTAACTAAAAATTCATTACCATTGGTTCCTCAACTTTAATTCAACTGGAGAAATGGTTCCTTAACTTTAACCCAATTGTAGCAATGGTCCTTCCAACATAACTCGTTTTGACAAATTTTTTGACGTAGTTGACGAAAAGGACCATAATTACACACTTTGATCAGTTGAGGGACCCTAATTATATAAATGGTTATTCCAACATAACTTATTTTGACAAAATTTTGACAAAATTGATGAAAAAGACTATAGCTACACATGTTGATAAGTTAAGGCACCAATGGTAATGGATTTTTAGTTGAGGAACCATTGCTACAATTTACTCGATTTTAAACTTGACTTGGAAAAAAATGTGTTTGGCAACATAACAATGCTAATACTTTTTATTCATATTCTGGTCATTTTGCACTTTTAATTCTTTTTAGTCAATCATTTTGCACTGGAATTCTTCTTAGTCAGTCATGTTTATGTAATGCGTAGGCTTTTGTATCAATCACTGTTTTAGTTTACATGCTGAACTGAATTATAGTTGGGCCAAGCACCTTCGTATGATGGTTGTGCGATCATATTTTCATTTGTAAGAAAATATTAACCTGCACAATTATATTAGAAGGAATATGATTGTGACAGTTTTTATCAAATCTTATTCGTAACACGCTTTAATAATACTAGATTTGCTTTAAGTTGCACATTCATATACAGAGGATTCACTGATTATGACGACATATAGTATTAATGCATAATAAAAACGAATTATAGATCAGTGACACACACACACACACACACACACAAATATATACTCAAAACAGAAAAAAAATATTTAGATAATATAATAATGTGATATACAGTGTTAATGCATAATATAATTGAATGGTTGATTAGTGCCATGTATATATACTCAATACAAATGAAAATATTGAAATAATATAATAATGTGATATTAATCTGAGGAAAGCTTGATTTAAACAATTGAACAATAGAAAAGACAAAGATTATTGAAACAAGACTAATTTCCTCTTCAATTAAAAGATAGAAATTCCTAAATGATAATATATATTATGAATGCATGCAAATATTATTACCTAGCAAGAAGCTAGAACACATTATTTTATTGTCTATCAAGAAACTAGAAAGTAGAAGACATTGAATGCTATTCGAAATTTAAGATGCGTTACCTTATTTTCATCTAATTTCCAAGTTCTTTTTTACTCGGTGAAATATTTATTTTGTGGATAATTTTTGGTGCTGGCTTAAATTTGATTTATTTTATATATTATATATTATATATTATGAATTTATTTTATTTTTATTCAATTAAAAATAGAGATTGACCGTAAATAGAATACCTGCTATTTAACATAACTTTTTTTTTTATATCATTTTTGTTCCCATGCTTAACATTTGCTTTTGTTTATGCATTTCATTGAAGAAGCTTCTCTTGGTTACTTACAACCTCAAGAACTTATGTGGTACAACGATGAAACTGCGCAAGGTTTCGTCGATTTCTGTCAACTCCAACTACCCCCAACAAGCCTCACGGCATGCTGATCTCTGGCATCTTCTAGAGTTTCGGTACGCAAGCACCTGAGAGTTTGCAATTTGATTCTCATTTGTTTTGGTTTGGTTTTGGTGTGATTTGATTGTGAGAAATGCGGTTTTGTTGTTAGTAGATCATGTGTTCGATGAATGTTGTATGAATTTTAAGGTTTAAGACCTTCTCACCGAGGACATTATTCATGCCACAGAAGAAGGATTCAACGGTGTGTGAAAAAATTGAGACTTTATTAGCGTTGTTTCGTTGTGGTATTGCGTTTAAATTCAATTTTTATTGAAGACATTTATGTTTTCTAATTTTTGTTATATATTTACAATAGAGAAACAAAAGAAATCTCAAGCCAGACCCTCAAGAGTTTGATGACGTCCCTAACTAATCGTTGAAAAAAAATCCTCTCCCAACCGCTACAAAACCAAATTCCTTTTCCTTATTTTCTTTATAATATAAATCTAATGTACGGATATCGTATATAATATAAGTTTAATCTTTTGATTCATAGTTTCAATGAAGCCAAAATCAATATTTTCTTTAATATTTTTTTCCATGTACATAGCCTAAAATTTCGTAATATTTTTTGCATGTAGTATTTTTTATACCTTTCAAACATATTCTTTCATAAGATTTCTAATTCCGTAACACACGTGGGCAAATTTTTTTAATCAAATACTAAATCAATCTTCTTAGTGCCCCAGCAATCTGCAAGAGTGTTTATACATCAACATTCGTATTCCCTTGCCTTTCAATAAATATAGTCATCTTAATATATAGCTGATGAGATTGAGTCCATTGACTAAAAAATGGCGAAGCAGGAAATATTTTTGAAGACAATAAAGCTGATGGTATGAATTGATGATGACTTACATTTGTTACAAGACAGTGACTAGTAACAATGCCTTTTGCGGATTTGTTCTGTGTCGTTGAAGCTAGCACTTTCATGTTCACTTGAAGCTGCCTCATCACGATATTCATGTGTTCGTTTCAAGATCTTCAGTGTATGGTTGAGTTCTTCCAAATCTTGTTTGTACACCAAACGAGCCCCACACTTCTTCACACTATTGAAGTCTGCTTTTACATTGTTCTCAATATCAACAAAGTATGTTTCAAATAAAAATTGTTCCCGATGACATTGTTCACGAGGGAAATAAAATACCAAAAGGTGTTCTGACACAAAAGACCCTACTTTAGTAGTTATAGCCAAAAGAGAATCTAAGTAATTCTCTGAAAATTGAATGGTGAAACGACGAGGGGCAGTTGGATTGGCCAAGTTTTGTTTATGATCTTGAAAAACAAGACAAAAGGCAATCCCCAGCCAGTTGGTACACGATGGTGGTGGAAGCTCCACATTTACTGAATTTCCCACGCTTTGATTACTGAACCACTCTGGAATTTCACTTCCAGGCCATACAACATTTGGGGCCTTTCTTCTGGAATATGGACGAAGTACCTATAACAAAAGAACTATTTTAGAGAGAGAGAGAGAGAGACAGAGGGAGAGAGAGAGAGAGAGAGAGAGAGAGAGTACCTCAGTGGCAAATTTTAGAATCCTTGAGAATATTGTATTAATCCAACCTTCATCTTGAACCAATGCAATGCAATTCTTGCAAGTGAACCAAAAATCATACAAATTGGTGAATCTGCTGCTCAACTTGGATGCATCTGTCAACCTTTTTAAGGAAGTACAATCATCTAGAGATACATATAATTCGCTATTTGATGGAAGAGGTAGCAATTCTTGAAGGCTTTTGCACCTGTCTAGGTTAAGACGCTCGAGCTTAGAAAGGCGTCTAATGCTTTCAGGTAGACTGATGAAATTATTTCCACTAAGTTCCAAACTTTCCAAAACGGACAAGTAGCCAATATCATCGGGGATATCTCCTTCACAGATTTCACAATCTTCTAGACGTAACTCTCTCAAAGAGCACAAACGATTTAGAGAAGACAACACCAAACCCCAACAAGAAGGATCAGGACGACTCTTCCCAAGTCCTAATAAGCGGAGAAGGCCCCACCCCTCCCTTGCTTTAGCATCCGATCCCTCAAATGCTAGATACTCGAGATTTTTCATACCCACAAGCGGCTCTTTCATAGTGGTTCCCAATTCAAGTACCCTTAAGTGATCCATGTCTCCGGGAAGTTTGTGTATCTTTAAGCATCCACGCACATCAAGATATATGAGAGACTTCAAATTACAAATAGCCCTTGGAAGGTTCAAGAGATTTTTGCAATTACGTAGATACAAATGCTCAAGGCCAACCAGATGTCCTTTTGATGAAGGTATTTTCTCAAGAGAATCCATTTCAACCTCATCTGGGAGGCTCTTAATGCTTTCACACCAACTAAGGTCTAAAACTTTAAGTCTTTTAAGAATTACAATAGTCGGGCGGATCTCAACTAAATTCTTACATTCCAAAAGATCCAACGTCTCAAGATTTGGAAGACCACTGAAATCTGGGGTACTCTTCAACTTATTGGAGCTCCTAAGACTGATATATTTCAAATTGGGCAAGTCCTATACAACACCGATAAGGTTTAGATCATATATTTAGCTTCTACAACCTTAAAGTATATTCAAAATAATAAATAAATGATTATTTTGTAAATTAAAAAGCATTTATTCAATACTTCTTCTTACCATTTTTCCCTTCCATAGCCGAACAAGATTGCTATTACTCATGTTGAGTTCAGTAAGCAAGTGTGGATGAAAGTTGGTTGGAAGAAACTTGGATGGATAGAAACTCCAATTTATAATTCTCAAGGAACATGGAAGAAATTCAGGACCTGAAGAAAAGATCAAATTATCGAATTCCAAAAACCTCAGTCCTGTCATCTTAGACAAGGCTTCGCAATTCCACTGGCGTACCTCCTCTACTTTGGGCAAGCATAAGGATATTACTTCAATTGCTCCTGTTCCCTAACAATTAAGAAAAAATGGCAAATTAATTCACATTCAAGTCTAATATACTGTCAAAATAAATCATGTCTTCTTTTAAACTTGGTATTTAACTTCTTACCGTATTAGTCGTGAATACACGAATAATGTCCTCGTATAACCACAACCTACTGCGTAGACCAGGCTCTTTAGACTCGTCACCAATAATTTTCCATGCCATTTCTTGTATCAAATCATGCATCCATATGCAATTGTGATGATCTTGATAGAGGAGAGATCTCTCAATTAATCCATCTATCACAATACGACTGGACATTCCAAAAGGATTAGAATTATGTAGCATTTCAATTACTTGCTCCATGTGCTTCCCTTTGTGGAGACATGCAACATCGAGGAAAATGCTCTTCTCCCGCTCTTCTAGTCCATCATAACTTATTTTAAGTTTATCAAAAATTGTTGGATTAAGAATTTTTGACAGACTATCCCGTTCACTATTCCAAGCAGCTAGCCCTCTCTTAAACAATGTCGCCCCGAAAATTTTAAGAGCTAATGGAAGGCCTCTAGCATGATTAATGAAATACTTGGACAATTCCAAAAAATCTTCCTCAGGTTGGTCTTTTTTAAAGGCATGCAGGCTAAAGAGCTCAAGTGCTTCGGCATCATTCAACCCCTGCACCTTATATGATGTTTCTATACCATGTTGGACTAGCAAACGCTGATTCCTAGTTGTCACGATAATTCTACTCCCCATACCAAACCAACCTTGATTTCCAGCCAATACTTCGAGTTGCCTTAATTCATCCACGTCATCAAGTACGAGAAGAACCTTTTTATTATGTAAGAACTTCTCAGTGAGAATGCTTACGCGCTCTTCATCCCAAATTTCTTCAATCCTTTCCCTCAAGAACGGGAAAAGAAGTTTTTTTGCAAGATCAACTATACCATTTTTTGCACAAACCTCTCTGACATTGGCAAGAAAACAATGAACTCCAAAATGATGGCAAATTTTATTGTAAACTAGCTTAGCAAGGGTTGTCTTGCCTATGCCACCCATCCCCGTTATCCCAATAAAGTGAACATCATTGGCATCATGAGCTAATAGCAGACTTAGTTGCTCGAGTGCAGAATCAGTTCCGACTAACTTCCGTGAGGAATCTAATAGCGTGAATGTAGCTTGCACTTTCCTCTGCACGCATTTGACGATGTCATTAATCAGCTCTCTTTCAGATCTACAAGGAAGAAAAGTAAAATAAGCAATCAATGGAAGATAAACGAAGCATTCTCGTTTGACTCCTTTAAGAGATATAGGAAATTAATTGTCTATGCATGCTTACTTAAAATTCTTCAAGTGCCACCCAGAAAATTTGGATACTTTTTTCAAATCAGCTCTCCACTGGGTCAACTTCTTTTTGTCTTCGGTAGGGTTGAACTTTTCTTCATGCTCCGTAAAGGCTTTGGCAAAACATCCACGCTGATTTCCAACATCAGATGGATCAGTCTCATAAAAGACCGGCAGAACTGATTCCCTGCCTTCCATGCATTGAAGAATGGTTGTGAGTTCATCCAAACACCATTTGGAAGAAGCATAGTTTGGTGAGAGAACAACGATTGCAATATGCGATTCTTTGATCGCACGTGGGAGCTCAACGGGAATACTTGTTCCTCCTTCAAGCTCTCGATCGTCAAAGAAAGTTGTAATTCCTTGGCACTCCCACAATTCATGGTATAAATGGGATACAAAACCCTTGCGGGTGTCGACACCCCTGAAACTCAAAAACACATCATACTTCCATCTAGGAGATGATTCATTTGAAATAAAAGATGCAGAGGCTCTTTGGGTGCTCAAAGTCAATGCCATCGGAAAAAACAGTTGCTGTAGATTGGATACTTCAAACAGTAACTGAACGAACAAGTAAAAAGACAGAAGATCAATGTTTTAAAATTTAAAAAAGAATTTGAAACTTTAAATCTTCTTTTGGTAATCACAAGATGCAATTTTTATTCGTAACTACAGGGACTCACTGCTGTAAAATGTTTGACTCAGTGCCAACACATAATTGACAATCCGATTTGATCTTACAGTCTTCAATAACTCAGTTTAAGCCGTTGAATCATATTCAGTTACCAGAAAATGGTTCTGCAAACAAAAACAATAGTCAATGAACAAGTAAAACAAAAATGAGTAGGGAAAAGAAAATAGAAACTTTAAATCTTGTTTTAGTAATTGAAAATGTATATTAAGCAAAAGAGATAATGGACTCAGAGAATATACCAAAAAAATAAAATACAGGATCAGCACAAAACTTACACAGGCAGAGAAAAGTGACAAATGGCAAGGAAAGAACTGGAAAAATCACACTGAAAATTCTCGCAGCAAAGTGTAGCAAGAGAGGAAATTGTGAGAGGTAGGAAAGGAAATAAATGGGAGAGAGATGGATAGCCGAGTACTTCTACTGGTAGTGGTGGCGGTGAGAACCACACAATTTAGTGTCGGTGATAGTGTCAGATAGTGAATTATTTCTCTGACAAAGAAAAGTTAGTATGATTGTTTTACCTAAGTAGGAGTAAAAGAACCGAAATTCTAGAGTGAAGTTATGGTAAATTATTTAAGGGCTAAAACATCTGGAGTAACTCATACCCCCTAGTACCGTGAAAATTTCAAACTATTGGTAATGGTCCAAAAAATACAGAGAAGCTATAAATTAGAAATTGTTAAACAATTCGTAATACTCACTCTCTTTTGTATACATGCTGTGTCAAGAGAGGAAATAGTTTTGATTAATTTCACTTTCAAGTTTCGAGTTTTGGTCACACTAACCAACTGTTAAACGATCTTTGTATGATTGCTTTGGTCCATGCTTACTACCAAAAAACATGAGCTCAACCAATTTAATCAAATTAAACTACAAGTCCATGGCATCATATTGGTTTCAGTTTTGACTGATTTGAATGTTCATCACATTAGTATAAAGATAAACTTAGATTAAAAGGATGAATAAATACTAATTTAGTGAGGAACCATGTCCTCTCCGAATCCCAAAAACTGAGTATCTTGAGCAACAATCATAGGCCGTTGAAATTTGATCAAACGGCTATAAACAGGGATCCCTCTGAAAGTTATAATAATTGTAGTTGTTTAATCAAATTTCAACGGTCCTGATTTGTAGTCCATGATGCTCAGATTTTGGGGATCCGGTTCCATTTAGTGAGAACATCAGCGATCAAACATTGTGCAGCTCCATCAGCCAACATTTCTGATCAAAACCGTGACACAAGCCAAGTAAGAAAACCAATAAAATGCCAACAGAAAAGGTTATATGTGGGAAAGCACAATGAATTACATAAAAACAGGAACGCTAAAATAACCGTGTAATGAACCTATTATCATGCCATAAAATTAAAATACAATGTGAGGTGGGGATAAATTTGAGCTACACTGTTGTAAATCTCCTTGAAGCAACAAGGAAATCTCCATGCAAGAGCTATCCACTTTCCAACACTCATTCAAGAGGAAAAGCAAAAGGGAACTCGACAAGTATTTTCCATACGAAAAGTGGAAGACTGACTATGAGAATTTTCGGGAAGCTTCATTTGGGACGTGTTACTTTTTCTCTTCTCACCAAAGTCATGGAATGCAATATTTTGAGTAAGTTCCCAACTTTCTTACGAGAAAAGATAATTCATGAATGAGTCAGTCTCAACTTTCTTATGAGAAAATATATTCATATCTCCTTGTGTTTTCAGAGCTGCTAAAGACACATACCTCTCGTATTTCTTCATCCACTTTTCAATACTCGTTCCAAAGTATTTTCTACACAAAAAAAAAAAAGGGTATTGCAAACAAATCAGTAGTCAATAAACAAGGAAAACAAAAATGAACAGTGAAAAGAAAATAGAAAATTAAAATCTTGCTTTGGTAATTGAAAGTGTATATTAAGTAAAAGAGATTAAGGACTCATAGAAAATACCAGAAAAAAAAAAAAAACAAGATCAGCACAAACTTACAGAGACAAAGAGAAGTGACAAAGGACAAGGAAAGAAGCAAAACTGAATTTTTTTGCAGAAAAATTGTAGGAAGAAAGGAAATTGAGAGAGGAGGAAAGGAAATAATGGGAGAGGGATGGACAGTCGAGTACTTATACTAGTAGTAGTGGTAGTAGGGACCACACGGTTCAGTGTGGGGTGACAGTGTCAGATGATGAATTATTTTGACTCAAGCCAATTAATCAGCAAATAGAGATAGAAGGGCAGCCTATGCCTTTCGGTTCCTGAAAAACTGAGAAAGAAAGGGAATAAAAAAGGAGCAGCATTATAAGGCATTGGATGCTTTTCTTTTGGTTCCCATCACCAAAGAGAAAAAGAAAGGCAACCTATGCCTTTCGGTTCCTAAAAGACTGTTAGGGTGCTGTTAGAATGCCAAATGGCAGCATCTAATTGTGACAGATGTAGGGTTGTAATAAAGGAATTAGTTGATGAGGTTGAGTTGTTAAGATTGTTAGAAGTTGTTGGAGGGTAGCTTAAGGAGTAAGCTAGCAAGTGACTATAAATAGTAGTTGTAATAATTGAAGGATGATGTCATATTTCTCTTAATAATACTATTTACGGTTTAATTGTGAAGACGTAAAGTAGGTGTATCGTATCATTAGTATCAGTTCAGGGTATCACCCTCAAACCGATGGCCAAACTGAAGTGATGAATCGCTGTCTGGAAACTTATCTCAGATGTTTTTGCAGTTTGCAACCAAAGAAATGGGCCTTGTGGTTATCGTGGGCAGAATGGAGTTTTAATACCGGATATCATACTGCTATGAAGTTGACAACCTATGAGATTGTGTATGGTCAAACCCCTCCACTTCTTCCATCTTATGAACCTGGTACCACAAAGGTAGAATCTGTAGAGCAATGTTTGTTGGAAAGGAATCGGATGTTGTCCCTCCTTAAAACCAATCTGGAAGCAGCCCAGTGTCGAATGAAGATTCAGTATGATAAGAAGCACAAAGAAAGGAGTTTTGAAGTAGGTGATTGGGTGTATTTGCGCTTAGTACCTTATTTGCATAACTCCCTGGCTTCTCATTCATTCCAGAAGTTGCAGCCTCGCTTTTATAGACCTTTTGAGATTCTGGCATGGATTGGGACAGTGGCATACAAACTGAAGTTACCTGACAGCTCTAAATTACACCCAGTATTTCATATCTCCTGCTTAAAGAAGCATTTGGGTAGCCAAGTTACTCCCACAATGCCCTTACCTGTCATCAATAAAGCTGGAATTCTGCAGGACGTTCCAATTGCAATTTTGGAAAGGAGAATGGTGAAGAAAGGACACGGAGCTGTCATTGAAGTGTTGGTGTAGTGGCAAAATCATTCACCGGAGGATGCTACTTGGGAGCCTTATGCGGAATTGAAGACTAAATTCCCTGAAATTGTTAATTTCTGATATGCTCATGTACTTGTTTCTGTTCTGTGTTAGTAGGTTTTCAAGGGGGGGTATTGTTAGGGTGCTGTTAGAATGCCAAATGGCAGCATCTAATTGTGACAGATGTAGGGTTGTGATAAAGGAACTAGTTGATGAGGTTGAGTTGTTAAGATTGTTAGAAGTTGTTGGAGGTTAGCTTAAGGAGTAAGCTAGCAAGTGACTATAAATAGTAGTTGTTGTAATAATTGAAGGATGATGTCATATTTCTTTTAATAATACTAGTTACGGTTTAATTGTGAAAACGTAAAGTAGGTGTATCGTATCAAAGACAGAGAAAGGAAATGAAAAGAGAGTCAATTACTCATTCAAGACATTGGTGTGTATTTTACGCTTCTTCAATTTATTGGGCGTACGCGGAATTGGAGGTTTAACAGTTAAAATTATATTTGTAATCTCTATTTTAATTATCATTAGAATTTCTTTGTCGTCTCCTAGCTAGATATAAGCGTACACCAAATTAGTATAAATCTTTGTGTCACACTAAATTATTTATTTTGTCAAAATTTTCCGTATTAGTTTATTGGTTTCATATTGGTTTCATTTGATTGATTTGAATGTTTTATCACATAGCTTCTAAAAAAATATGTTTCATCAGATAAGTATAATAAATATAAACTTCAAAGGAAGAATAAATACTAATTTAGTGAGAACATCGACGATCAAACATTGGCATCCAGATGGACACCCATCCTATCTACAATGGAGGAAATTTGATGTCCACGTGTTCAACCTTCCTCATGCAGGCCATTACTCTTGGCTACTTGAAATGTACTCTGAACTTATTGAGTAAGTCACTAATTATTGGGTTCAATTCGATTTAATGTTGATTAGTATATATATGTAAATAGATTGTAAATATGTTGTGCAAATATGAGTAAATAGAATAGTAAACATAAGTAAATTTGTGTAAATAGAGTGGCAAGCCCGAAAATAGGATTGTAAATATTGTTGTACATATGTGTAAATAGAGTTGTAAATATGTGGAAATATAATTGTAAATCCGCTGCATTACACGGCCACCTTTGCTTGTTATCACTATAATATAAAGCCACACTCAAGATCAATAAAACTTGCCCTATTATTAATTAATTATATAGAGTTATAAAAAAAGGATGGAAGACTAAGACCTGGTTTGGTACTAAGATGATTATGAAAAAAGCTGGTATCAAAAAAAGCTGGGAGCTGTTTTTGTGTTTGGTAAACATTCAGCTTCAGCTTTTTTTCACAGTTTTGGGTGAAAATAAGCCAAAAACAAGAAGCTGCAAAATCCAATTTTGAAAAACCGGCTTTTTTTCACATCTATTTTACATAAAAATTTACCAAACACTATAATACTGCTGTTTTTTTTTTCAAAAGCATTTTTACAAAAAAATTTACCAAACATTCTACTGCTTTATTTCACAGCACAGCAGAAACAACTTTTTTTCAAAGCACAGCAATACCAAACCAGCCCTAACTCTGATTTCCAATAATGGTTCCAAGGTGAAGGGGCAACTATTTTCTGCAAAGTGGAAGACTGACTGAGAAATTTTCAGGAAGCTTTCCCGTTGGGACGTTTATCTTCCTTCACCTCTTCTCTTCTCCCCAAAGTGATTGGATGCAAGACTTGCGACTTCTCTGCAACTTCCCAACTTTCCCATTTTTTATAGAGGAAAATAATTATGTCACCCATTTTGAAACTTGAATCTAGTTTTTTCACACGAGCCGTAGAGGGTAATCCAACACATAAGGCCATTTTGGCAATTGCACAATATTAGCCCCAAAATTCAACAAATCAGTTTCCAACCAAAACGCGTTTCGCAAATCACATCACAATTATCGAATTAGAAACCTCTATAATCAAAATGGAATAAAATTAAATAAATAAAATAAAAATGAAATCAGCATTTCTTGAACATTAAAATTCTGAAGTGGAAGTCTAGTGATACTAATAATTTACATAAGGATTTATTAGAACCTGACTATTACATATGAACAGTCTAACAATAACTTATAGTTTTCAACTATTGTACCAATACCTTAGGTTTATGGTTCAATACCTACAAGATTTATAAAGGAGTGAGGGAAACCACAGTTTAGTAGGAATATAAACCTCATCAAAACTTATTTGACAACTACTTTTAGTTTTTAGTTTTTTTTAAAAAATGAAAACTAAAAACTAGTTTCTTGAGCTTTCAAAATTTGTATTTTGACTTTTTAATTTTAGTTTCTAATAAACACCATGACACAAGCCAACAAGTAACAAAACCAATAAAATGTCAACTGAAAGCGTTATACTTATATGTGACAAAAGAACAATGAATTACATGAAATGAAAATGTCAAAGTAGGCATGTAATCAACCTATATAATCACGCCACAAATTAAAGTACAATGCGAGGTGGAGACAAATTTGAGCCACACCGCGGTAATCCGTGCAATGTAAATCTCTCTCAAAGAAGCAACAAGGAAATCCTCATGCAAGAGTTCTCCACTTTCGAATAATCGTTCAAGAGGAAAAACTAAAAGGACAAGTATTTTCCACAAAAAAGGTGGAAGACCGACTATGGAAAATTTCCAGGAAACAAGATTTTCGAGTAAGTTCTCAACTTTCTTCTGAGAAAAGATATTCATGTCTTTTTTTTTCTTCTCTCTCTCTCTTCAGTGATGCTAAAGCCAACTAGTTATCTTATTTCTTTAGCACTTTCCAATACTCGTTCCAAAGTATTTTCCACCAAAAAAAGTAGAAGACTAACTACGAGGAAAATATTTATGTCATCCACCATGAAACTTCTATATAGGTTTTTTTTCACACATATGTTCGTGAGGTCCACTAACAATGTTGAAGTCTTTGTGGAATATGCTGAGACTTCCCCTGTCATTTAGACAAACCTTCTCACAGTTATACTTTGCACTAAATGTATCACCCCCAGCAATTAGCAATATCAAATCTGATAAAACCAGTCAAACAAATGACAAGTCTTCAATGCAAGCTGCAATGTAAGAGTGGAGTTGAAATGATCCATACATCAAAGAAAATGATCATTCATAAGAATCATGAAACCTAGGCTAAGTTCCATGGGCCCTTAAGGTCCCTCATCAAAACTTAGAATAAACACTGCATTTGGATGATGGTATTTAAAGTTCCATGAAACCCGTGTTTGGGTGAGGACTATCAAAGTACCAAGGAAATTTGGACTTAATTTAAAAATGTACTACATTAACACCATCATTAAGCTACTCAACACTACAAATCTACTTCTAAAACTCTAGAAATGCACTACAAGACACCAAACAATGGGTTTCTAAAATGACATTTTGAACATTTGAAAATTCTATCAAACGTATTGCATCTAGTCATTTTCAAGTCCCTATCTCATTATTGTAAAGAATCCTAACAAATTTAGCTTCAGTTCCATGGACTTTTAAGGTCCCTCATCCAAACATAGGGTAAACACTGCATGTGGATGATGGTCTTCAAAGTTCCACGAAACCTAGGCTACACCTTTTAGAAATGCACTACAGAAAAGTAGATAGAGGGATTCAAAATGACTAGATGTAAGACATTTGATAGAACTTTCAAATGACACCTTGAAAGTCTTTTGTTGCGTGTATTTAAGCTACATTGTAGTGTTATAGTCGTAACTTTGTAGTGCTTTAGTAGTTCATAAGTAGTGTTCTTGTAGTGCATTTTTAACAAGTAAGTCTAAAGTTCATTCCTCATTCAAACATAGAACAAAACACCCCTGACAACTTTTATACAAAAACATGTCAAGAGCTCAATTGAAGGGGAAAAAAAAAAAAAAACCTTGTCATTTGTCATGCTCGAATTGATTCTTAATTGTGAAATCCTTCCTTCATCAAATCAATTCGTTTTTTTTTTTAATTATTATTTTTTATTTATTTTATTTTTTTAACTATAGGGTTTGAAGTGTTTTCCTCTAAAGATCAAGTACCATCATTTTCCAGGATAATATACTCACTGAATTCGTTACTCTCTTATAAGTTTCGGAAAAGAACCAAATAGTTTCAAAATGAAAGCGAAAATATGGTACAACACATGCACACTGCAGATATGACATGGTCAAAATATGGTACAACATATATAGGAGTCTCTACTTCTTTACACAATCAAAATCAATAAAATTAACATAATGAACCATTGTTGAATGCCGTCGTCACTGAAACGCAGCATAACATATGTCAAATTTACTGCTTTCCCGGTAAAACCAACATCTTTACGGCCACAAAACTTAAAGGAGGAGAACAATCAAAAAAGTTCTAAAGCCAAAAGGTTTTTGCTTTGCCAATGGCACAAACCAGAACACCCACTACTTCACTCTCATAAACTTCACTCAAAAAACTTCGTTTTGCCCTAAAATTTCATAATTCTACTCGCTCAAACACCCCACCAGACAGTTCCTACCAACTTGACCTAGGCCCATTCAAGTCTAATCAGCATATCCAAACTTTCAAACAGCAAAATTAAAAAATAAAACAAAAATTACAAAATTCAATTGGAAAAATTGCAAGGAAATTGAACTGGGAATTGGGCAAAGAAACATACCATTGTTCGTTAGTAGCTCAGGAGTCCGACATGCAGTCGAAGCGCCTCAATTTTCAGAGAAATTGACTGCAATGCGAGAGTTTTTAGGGGAATTCAGAGCGAGAATGTGAGGGAATTACGGTTTGGAAGGAGCCATCTTTCTCTCGGGCAATCAATGAATCCAAAATTGTGAGGAGATCTTTAATTTTTTTTGTCAACAAATTGTCAGGAAATCTGGGAATCAGGCAGAACAACTCCGAAGATATAGGGAAAATCTAAAAAAAGGTGAAAACATTAAAAAAAACTGACTCAAAGTACTTTCCATATTTAAATTCGGTAGAGGAAATAAGAGATAGTATATTTTGTGAAAAAAATAGTGTGTGTGTGTGTATATATATATAACAAAACAAAGGAAAAAGTGTGTAAGGCCATCTCCAACCAAGAAATCTAAAATTTTTAGTCCAAAAAATTTAAGTTTTAACTTAGAAATAGTTTTTCTACTCTAACCCCTTTTGAGTTAAATATTTAGTCTCAAATTATTAAAAAATGAATTTAGACTAATTTTTTAAAGTAACTTTAAAAAAAATATATTTAGACTATCCTAATTTAATT